TGCTTTCGCCTAGAAACACACAGCGTCTCTCTGACATGGCTGCTTCAACACTAACTGCGGTTACTGAAACCACGCCTTCTTTCTTTGCGTGCACATTTGGGTGGCATTATGCTAATATTTCCACATAGTGAGGTAGATATGTGGGGGCGTGTTAGAACGAGCCATTTTAGGGGGACGTGGCAGAGTCTTAACTTTGATAAAGAATATCTCTTTAGTCTTTGCAACTTCAGGGATCTTATCTATGCACAATCAGCTTGTAACACTCCAAAGAGAAAGAAAAACTTGAAATCACATCATATGACCCCTTTAAAAAATTGACTGACCCTAAAAAAATGGAATTTAGCGTATCATTTTTTTCCTGTAAAAATGGGGGGAAAGTTAAAAATGTAACATGTTTGTATTTCAGAGCTCCCTATGGCCCATGACCTTTGGCCTGGCATGTTGTGCTGTGGAGATGATGCACATGGCGGCTCCTCGTTACGACATGGATCGTTTCGGTGTCGTGTTCAGAGCCAGTCCCAGACAGGCTGATGTCATGATAGTCGCAGGGACATTAACCAACAAAATGGCTCCTGCACTGCGTAAGGTAATTGCACCATATCAATAATAATAAACTCCCCTTTAATATAAAGGTTTAAAAGAACAGTTCACCCAAAAATGAAAATGGTCATCATTTACTGATCCTCAAGTCATTCCAAACCTGTATGATTTTCTTTCTTCTGCTGAACACACAGGAAGATATTTTGAAGAATGACCCACACCTAAACGTTTTTTTTTTTATTATGGAAGTCAATGGCTGCTTTGTTACCAACATTCTTTAAAATATCATCTTTTGTCTTCACAAGAAGAAAGAAACTCGTACATGTTTGAAACGACATCAGGGTGAGTAAATGATGACAGAACGACATCAGGGTGAGTAAATGATGACAGATTTTTTTTTTTGTGAACTATCCCTTTAATATTTCTGTTTATGCTTCAGTGTAATAATGTTGTGCATGAATGTCTTGTTAATGGCAGGTGTATGACCAAATGCCAGAGCCCAGATACGTCATTTCAATGGGAAGGTGAGAAACGCAAATAAGCTGATCAGGACAAACTAGTTAATTTGTATCATACTTCATTATGTTTTGTCTTGTTTCTGTCTTCCTGGTAGCTGTGCTAACGGCGGTGGCTACTATCACTACTCTTATTCAGTGGTCCGGGGTTGTGATCGCATCGTTCCAGTGGACATCTACGTCCCAGGTGTGTTTCATTTAAACAAGCTATAACATGTTCTGTGTGTCTCTGTGTGAATGAGTGGTGCGGTTTCGTCTGCTACACGCATGACGCTCGCAGTGTTTTCAGCGTCTGTGTCTCAATATATGAGACGTGAACAAGAGAACTTCATCTCCAGAGCTGCTATGAGAGTCACTTCACTTTCATTTGAGAAAAACTACTGTCAAACATCTTCACGACAGACCGCCAAAATAAAAGTTCAGTTCAACTTGAAAAAAATCTGACACAAATGTATTACTACTGTAGACTTCTCAAAGTATTATTATTTTTTAAAGAATATTATACAACCAAGACAGTACTTCATCCATGATTTAATTAATGCAGTTCTGTTGTACAGCAGTGCGTTTTATTGTAAATTAATTAGTAATTTGATTACATTTTAAGTTATTTAAATAGTTGCAGTCTTAGTAATTCATTTCATTAGACACCATTTTTGATGATCATAGATTTGTATTAAATAATAAAACGGAATCCAGAAAAAAAAATTAATGAAAACACAGAATTTAGAGGAAAATAAAAAAGATTTCTTGGGGCCCTAAATTAAAAACTCTGTGGAGTTTGTTTATTCTCAAAGTCTAACAAACATGTGGAAAGCATTTCCATCCCCATTGGAAAGCAATATTGTGGTCAATATTAAGGAAGCCTGTTTCCGCCACTGAATAAAAAATAAAGGTAATTGCGACTTTCATCTCACAATTCGGACCTTTTCTTGCAATTGCGAGTTTACATCTCGCAATTCTGACTTCTTGCTTGTGAGTTATAAAGTCAGGGTCGTGAGACATAAACTCGCAATTCTGACTTCTTTTCTCAGAATTGAGAGAGATAAACTTGAAATTGCAAATTATAAAGTCCAGTTCTTACAATTGTGAGTTATTATCTGTATAACTCGCAGTTTCATGTTTGTATATTGTAATTCTGAGAAAAAATTCAGAATTGCAAGATGTAAACACGCGATTATGAGAAAAAATAGTCTGAATTGTTAGATAAAAAGACGCAATTACCTTAATTTTTTTTATTCAGTGGCGGAAACGGGCTTTCATAAAATATCGATATTGTATATGTAAAAGTAGTAATGGAAAAATTAAGCTTTGCGAAGCACCGAGGCTTTTCCCTCAACTATACCCCGAAAAGGTTCATTACTGTATGATCAAAATAACCGAAGATTATCATAGAATGGTCAGTTAAAGTGTCTGTGAACCAGGAATTGATACGAAATGAACATGCACAACACTACACATGCATGTATGCAAATATTTATTCATAGTATGATTTATTCTTTTCAAAGACGTGAGTGACACTTGAAACTGTGCAAGTGGTTCGCGTTATTTGAATCAGAATACGAAGCAGTCACGTGGTTGTGTGTGACAACGAAGCTTCGGACGTCACAGATCACGTGGTTTTGGCAAAACGAATCAAGCTCCGGTACAGTGCTTCACTGTGAGATGTTTAGTTTTTTTTGATACAAGCTTCGAAGCCTCGGTGTCGAACGTCACATCACTAGTAGAGAGAGTTAGCAATAGCAAGCAGCAGTAGCCAGCATAACTCACCTGCTGAGCACATTGTGCTGTGTCCAACAATTCGTCTAAACAACTCAAAATTAAAATACAAGTATCGTAAATTCTAATATGTATAAATTCAAAAAAAGCTTTATTTTTTGGGGGGTTTTAATATAAAAAATGAAGTTAATATAAAAACTTAAACTTATTTTGTTTTAGCTGTTTAAGGCAGCATTTCTCATTTTCATTCAGTTTAATGATGTACTAAAATAACTAAAAACTAAACTTTAAAAATAAGACCTATATAGACAATTATATAGCCAAATTTCAAAAACAAAATTGCAAAAGCTAACTACAATTAACATGAAAGCATAAAGTATAAAAATATTTAAGATATTAACAAAAACTATAATAGTACTACAACACTGTGCTCTTTATCTGTGAATACATCCACCATACTGATATATAAAACAAGTAGCAATATGTCAATTATGTAGTGTTTATTTTGATGTAGTATAATCAAAAAAAGAAAAGAAATAAAAGTCTTTGAATGGCACGACTAGTCATTTACAAAACTTTTTCTAGTTATTTTGAGAGAATTAAATGCAGTTCACCCTTATAAATGAATTAAATCATTTCAGAGACACTTGACAGTAGAATGATTTATATACAGTTTGTTTTTCTTATTCGCTTCACTGTGAGATGTTTCGTTTTTTTGATACAAGCTTCGAAGCCTCTGTGTCGAACGTCACATCACTATGAAAAAGTGTAAATATTATTGTCCATATTGGGCAGCCCTACTATAGCCTACTATAGAGAGAATTGTCTCTAATACGTGTGTAATAAGATTATCTGTCTGTGTGTCCGTCCAGGTTGTCCTCCAACAGCAGAGGCTCTGCTTTATGGAACGCTGCAGTTACAGAAGAAGATCAAGCGAGAAAAGAAAATGAGAATATGGTATCGCAAGTGAGGTGTGATTGTGTTTGTTTGTCTGCTCTGAGATGTTTATTTAATGCTGGTCATTTGTTGTGCTCAGAAGGCTGATTTCTCAGGAGCTGCTCTGGTTTGAGCTCGAGCTCCTCCTCTTTGTAGCTACAATAAAGAGTTTCTGCTTCACTGCTGAGTGCATTGACTTCTGTTTGATGCAGATATTTGGCTTTTGTCATGGTGGTGCATTTGTTATCATTTGTTTTCATTTCCGCATTCAGGTAAATGAAGCCCATTTTTATGCATATATAAGTAATTTAAGTATTAAATTCTAATATGTATAAATTCAAAAAAAGCTTTATTTTTTGGGGGGTTTTAATATAAAAAATGAAGTTAATATAAAAACTTAAACTTATTTTGTTTTAGCTGTTTAAGGCAGCATTTCTCATTTTCATTCAGTTTAATGATGTACTAAAATAACTAAAAACTAAACTTTAAAAATAAGACCTATATAGACAATTATATAGCCAAATTTCAAAAACAAAATTGCAAAAGCTAACTACAATTAACATGAAAGCATAAAGTATAAAAATATTTAAGATATTAACAAAAACTATAATAGTACTACAACACTGTGCTCTTTATCTGTGAATACATCCACCATACTGATATATAAAACAAGTAGCAATATGTCAATTATGTAGTGTTTATTTTGATGTAGTATAATCAAAAAAAGAAAAGAAATAAAAGTCTTTGAATGGCACGACTAGTCATTTACAAAACTTTTTCTAGTTATTTTGAGAGAATTAAATGCAGTTCACCCTTATAAATGAATTAAATCATTTCAGAGACACTTGACAGTAGAATGATTTATATACAGTTTGTTTTTCTTATTCTTTAACAATAGTTGGTGTGATCATCTTATTAAAGGAATAGTATTTGCATTCACTGGGAGGACTGATGTCCATCAGCGTGGTGCTGATCTTCTCCTTTTTGAATCCCGCTTCCACCAGGTGAGGAACTTGTGTCTCCTGGGCAAAAAAAAGTCGATTTCTCATCATAAAACCACAGCACAATGATATGGATTTAGTTGGAATGAGAGCGTCGGGAACTGAGCTACTCACTTGGAACATTTTGTAGATGTCATTATATTTGCTTTTCAGTAGCTCACCCCAGGAAGTGAGATTACAGTATGTGAGCACACCGCCGGGCTTCAGCAGTCTGTTAGCATGACCCTGACAACACAGTTCACTGTGATTAGGAAACCGTTCGACAAAACGGAGTGTGATCACTCACAGCAAACATCAGCCCAAATGGTTTTAATGTAACTGTCTTCCAACCTTGATAAAGTTGAACTGATGTGTGTGCCAGGTCTCCTCTGACAAAGGATATGTGTCATAAAGAATACCTGTGATTGGATGACAAATATATGCAGAGTACTTCACACAACTGTCATAAATTTCCTTAACTGCAACCGTATATGTGACCCTGGAGCACAAAAGCAGTCATAAGTAGCTTGGGTATATTTGTAGCAATAACCAAAAATACATTGAATGGGTCAAAATTATCGATTTTTCTTTTATGCCAAAAATCATTAGGATATTAAGTAAAGAAGATATTTTGTAAATTTCCTAACGTAAATATATCAAAATGTAATTTTTGATTAGTAATATGCATTGCTAAGAACTTTCAACTTCTGGACAACTTTCTGGTGATTTTCTCAATATTTAGATTTTTTTGCACCCTCAGATTCCAGATTTTCAAATAGTTGTATCTCGGCCAAATATTGTCCTATCCTAACAAACCATACATCAATGGAAAGCTTATTTATCCAGCTTTCATGTGATGTATACATCTCAGTTTCAAAACATTTACCCTTATGACTGGTTTTGTGGTCCAGGGTCACTTGTAATAATCATTTTCTGTCCAGTGCAATTTAATACATTACATATATTATTAGACAAAATTTACACTACCATTTAAAAGTTTGGGGTCGGTAAGATTTAAAAAATTTTTTTTAAAAAGTCATTGCAGCAAATATTAATACAATTTAAAATAACTTTTCTATTTTAAAATGTAATATATTCCTTTGATCAAAGCTGAATTTTCAGCATCATTTCTCCAGTCTTCAGTGTCACATGATCTTCAGAAATCATTCTAATATTCTGATTTGCTGCTCAAGAAACATTTCTTAACCTCACAAATGCTGAAAACAGTTGTGCTGCTTCATATTTGTGTGAGAATGCAATTTTTTGAGGATTCTGAAAAAATAACTACTTCTTTTCAGCACATCTTTTGTACTATCACTTTTTGATTCATGTAATGCATCCTTGTTGAATAAAAGTATTAATTCCTTTCAAGACTTTTGTTTTTCTTTTTTTATGTAGTCACTGGAAAGTAAACAGCACATTTCACCTCTTTTGTACTGAAGGTTACCATTATGCATGTGCATTTAAAAAAAAAAGATATTTTGCTTGCATTATAGTAAATATTAAAATGGTTTTACCATCAAAGTGATTGTCGGGTAGGGTTGGCACCACATCTTCCCACAGGCCTTTCAGAGGAACAACCTATGCAAGTATAACCAAAATAATGGACAGTTTAAGAAATCATAAGCTGCATGTAATAACTCGGCACAATTTGCAGATACAGATATATTTTGTTTACTTTATATGGCTGACTTCTGGCCCATTCCTGTAGCCTCTGGAATACACCATCATTGCACTCAATGATCCAATGCTCCTCAATGGGGAAGGACTCCACTTTAGTGGCTGCTATGGCCATTCCAAAGCCGATCTCGAGCACCCTTCCACCTACATTCCCCAAACAAGAGGAGACCAGTTGTTTATGCTTTTTACCTGTTTTCTTATTCATAATTCAGTGCTTCAACTGCATTCTGTCCATTAAGTGTATATATCTTACTATGCCAGATAGCTAATATTGACAGAGTGATGGTCATGGGAAAGGTCCTGGAGCTGCAGGAGGTGATATTTCAGAAAGGAGTAAAAATAGGCATGTGAGGAGTAAAGCAGAGGTCACTAGTGTCCTGCCCTTCTCAGATGAATGGCATTTCTAGAAATTCTGTTTGCAAACTGTTGATGTGACACATGCTCTGTGCGACTATGAAACCAAATATTTTAGGTTTAAGCTTTTAAGTGAGAAATAACTGAATCTAGTGTTTAACTTCTACAGTTTGCGTGTGAAAGTTTTGCACCTGTTGTCGAGGCACAAGCACGTGTTTGTGTCACATTCATAGATTACGAAATCTAATCTGACTGCTACAATATCAACGTTTACATTCTACGAATTCTACTAAGGTACTTAATATTAATTAGGTAACGCCATTGGTCGCTCCAGGAAGCAACGTCAGCATTGCTACATTACTATTCATGAGCGACGTCTTCGCAATAGTAGTGCGGGGAAGTCTCTGGCAAGACTCGTTTCTGGAATCGGTTCTTTTGAACAGATCTTTTAGAACTGATTTAGCGGATCACGTGCTCATCCTGGCGTGACGTATATGTTGTAAAATAAAATAACAACAATTATAAAAAAGCCAGTGTTGGAACATACGGGTGACGGTTTGTTAAATTATTTATCAATTTATTAAGTTACTTTTCGGTCAAATTGTTGGTATGTGAAAGATAACGTGAGAAAGGCCTTTGCTAATCAAACTTAACCCAATTATTAACTGATTTGGACACATCCAAAAAAGACGTCTTTTGTTTTTCTGGTTTTCCGTTACATAAATACTGCATGTTCGGACATCCATTTTAAAAAAAAATAGTTATTTTTGCATAATAAACGCATATTTGGACAGTGCTCGGTTCAAGGAGTCAGTGAGTTGATGACCGATTCACGAATGAATCGTTTACACATGTTTGTTCAAAAGATTCGATTCAACTTAATGATTCGAATCTCTTCGCCATAGTAGAATGCTTAATTTTTACAGTGTTATTGAGAACACAGCTCGTTTTAAAGGTTTTGGCGGATAATATTGACACTTTTAAATATAATAGGACTGATAAAGTCACTTTCAACGAAAACGTAACGCAACGAATCGACTTCTTTGACTCACTGTTTCAGCTGATCAAGAATTAAAATAGCAAATTACCTTTAGATGCAGCAACTGTTGCAAGGGAGTGCATGTATGGAGTTTCCCAGCGCTCCATCACGGGTTTCCCCATGATCTCCAAGTGTGTGTCGGTCTCATTGTAGTCAGCACACGCGTCGTGCCACACTTGTTTGCAGTTTTCTCCCTTCGAGAAGATCGGCTGAGTGGAGGTCATGGTGGGTTGTTGAATGTTGACAGATGTGGTGTGGTGTTGTATCAACGCGCAGTGGCTGAAGAGATCGTCTCTGTCGTGGCTTGAGTGTTATATATTTAAAGAACTGCTGATCGTGCAAGAATCAGTGTAGTCAAAGAGTGAGTGTTGATAAGGAGTCCACTGAGAAGGGGGTGGTCTGGTCTCACATGCATTGCTCTCTAGACAGACAGCTGGAATAGCTTCTGATTCATGATGGTGAACCCAACAGCTGTAACCCTTACTATCCTTTACTATTTAAAAGGATTGGGTTATTCATTGCCATGTGGCAGAACCATGGTGCTGTGATTGTAGAGTTGCTGTTCAAAACCACATTGAAAATCTGGGACTGAATGATTACCATATCATGCATAATAAATGTCCAAAAACATGGTATTTCTGTGATCCTTGTCCGACCAAATAAATAAATAAAAATAGTACTAGTGTGGTGCGTTTGTATGTGCATTTGAGTAGGCATGCATTCTGACTATTAACACTAATCACGTGACATAGTTAAGGTTGTGCAATCGTACAGAACAAGTGGACTTTCTGAACTATTTACCTGCAGAACGGCCACTTTTTTTTTGTTGCCACTTTCATCAATATTTCAGTTAATAATTCGTAGGCTACTTGCATACCCAACATTCCTGTGTTACAAAATAGTTTAAAAAATAATATGGTGTCAGAATTGGCACATCTGTGCTCTGCTGCAACACCTTAATGAATTTATCTGCATTTCTTCACGTTCTGTGAGCTGCAAACAAAACACTAATTGGAATTAATTCATTTAAACTGACTGTTAAAAGCCAATTCATTTTGTCCTGCTTAGGTTTTGTGGTTGTATGTTATTCAGTCAAATCAAAAATACATCGGATTTAATCACTAATTAATAGAAGTATGTGTCTGCGACAATCCTCTTTGCTTATACACTATAGCTCATTCTCCTGTCCTGTAAACACTGATAACTGCACCCCAACAGTGTATTCATGAACCTGTTGAACCAGGTTTGTTTGATTTCATTCCAAACAGCTTATTACTGCATCACGATTAAGCACACTCAGAACTGAAATTTCTTAAAGAGACAGTTCACAAAAAAAGGGATTCTGTCTGAGTTCACTCACTCAAGTTCACTGGTTTTCTTGATTTTTGTTTGGTTTTGACATTTTAATAACGTACAGGCCACTTTTTCATGCAATTACATTAAATGGGAACTGAATTTCTGTTTCAGAAAGGACCATAAAATATTATAAATTTTGTAAAAGCAGTTCATGCACTCTATTTCAAGCCTTTTGAAGTCATCTGATGGCTTAGTGTAAGAAACAAACTGCAATATGGAATAAATCGTCCCTTCAGTGAGCTGTTAACCACTTCAACTGAGTCAAGCAATGAATCAGTCGGATTTACAAACAAATCATCCAGACCTGTTTTGTGACCTGAAACCTGAATTGGGTTTTGCTGCTTTTCTCATGAACTTTCATGAGAAGAGAGCTGAATCATCAGTGCCTCAGTCCTCATTAATTCTCACTATATAAGCCAAATCAAACTTATTTCTGAGTAAACTTTTTTGAACGTACTCATGCTAATATGCTATTAGCTATCAAAGTTGCTATTGTTTACTTACGCGCCCACAATGCTAATGTTAACTTAAGGGGAGACACTGCAGGCAAAAACACTTCTTGTATAGCACTTTATATTTGCGTCAATAGATTTCAATTACAATACATATTTCTAAAGGCCGTTTTCTCAAAATGAGTTTTTTCTCCTACACTGAGCCATAAATCTCCACTTCAGTAGCACTTACACACACCAAATTTAAAATTTTTATTCCTGTCTATATCCTGAAGTTTTTTACAGAGGGATTTGTTCATATATAATTTGCTTGATTATATACAACATTTTATCCCCCCCCCCCAATTGTGAAAATATAGGCTATTGTTTTCTGTCTGTTCTAAGTTTTTTTCTGAATTATGGAGTGACAAAAATCACCTCTGTAAAAACATTTGACTCTAATATGTCAAAAAATAAATACATAAATAAATAAAAGAATTTTGAAACTGACTTCATCCAGTGTTCAGATTATTGTACAAGACGTTTATGCAAATTAGTGCATATTTCATTAAATAATGCCTCATTTGCATATTTAAACCTAACATTTTAGAAAACTTGTAATACAAAAAATATTTGCAATTATCAATGTAATCAATGAACTGGGTAAGTAAGACGATAACTATTAGTTAATGTTTTTACCCTATCCACCTGCAGCCTTGATAATTATATCTATATATTTAGAGTACTGAAATGAAATAGATAAATATGCAAGTCTCATATTTTTTACCGTGTCAAATCCTCTTTTTTTCCTTTATACTGTAGCCTAGTGGACTCCATTTCCCATCATGCTTTGCTCTGATTGCACCGCCCTTGCTGGGGCGCCCCGTGGCCTGCGTCAGTGTTGCGCAGATTCGGTTTGAACCGAAAGCGGAGTGTGACCTTCTCTGACGGCGGAGACCGGCAGGAGACCGAGCGAGCGGATCCATGTCAGCACTCCCGTCCACGACCCTCGCCACGGAGATGAACTGCAACTTAGCTGGAGATGAAATCGGGTAAGACACGGTGTGTTTATATGACAGTGTTTGGATGTAGCGTACTTGTCCCGTTCCAGCGGAGAAAGATGCGCAGCGGGCCGCCCAGAGGACAGCAGATCCCAGCGAGCCATCCTGCCGAGCTCCGCAACTCACTCTGGTGCACCAGTAATCTCCTTCAAAATGACAACGACATGTTATCGGTTAATTTAACTGATAGAATGCTTCAACAAAGAAGCTAAGAGATAGATTGACAGAAAAAGATCAGCTGTCAAACTGGAGGCTTGTGTCACTCTGTTTTTATGCTGCAAGTTTCTTATAAACAAACTGGAGTATTTTATCACTCTTTTTATAGTGTGTGTTTTTATAAACACTTACATGTCGCTCTCTTTCATATGTGACCCTGGACCACAAAACCAGTCATAAGGGCCAGTTTTGTGAAATGTAGATGTATGCATAATCTGAAAGATGAATAAATAAGCTTTCCATTGATGTATGGTTTGTTAGGATAGGACAGTATGTGGCTGAGATACAACTATGTGAAAATCTGGAATCTGATGGTGCAAAAAAAAAAAAAAATATACCCCAGCGACTTATGACTGGTTTTGTGCTCCAGGGTCACATATAGTAAGTTTTATAATCAAACTAGAGGCTTGTATGTGCTCTTGGTATCCTACAAGTTTATAATCACAAACTGGAGACTTGTATCACTGTATTTTTCGTGCTATTTTTTTTAAATAATCATATTGGAGGATTTCATCTCTCTGACTTCTATACTATAAGATTTATAATCGGACCAGAAGAGAAACTCATGCATGCACAGTGTGACCCAGCCTGCAGTAGTTTGATTTGATAAACCGGCTCATGTCTGAGATGGTTTCGGAGTGGATCTGGGTTATTTGAATGTACGGCTGGTTTCTGATTATGACCCGTTAGACCGCACGGATCAGTCTTTCAGTGCCAAGGGCAAACGTGTTTTCTCTCCTTCACCTTGACTCATTTTCTTTTCTGAATGAACGCAAATGCATTGTGATGTTCCCTCATCTTTGTGTTGCAGGAAGCTGTTTGTGGGTGGACTGGATTGGAGCACCACCCAGGGTGAGTGTTACTGTCCTATTAACCCTCATATAGTTTTATACAGTAACATTAGTTGCTCTTAAATAATGCAAGTGTGTGCGCTCTGCGAGCCTGTAGTGTGCTTTTCATTAAAAGCACCGTCTTGTTTTGCATTGCTGGCTTGATGCACGCTATAATATTCTCCATAAATGTATATTTGCTCGGCATGTTCTCAGCGTAGAAACCAGGCTGTCACTCAGGGGCTGAGCTTGCCTTTTCAGTATGTGGGTGCAAGTGAGAGAGCCGCTTAGACGCAAGCTCCAAAAATCGGATAAAGCCTGTATCAGATAGCATGCGTAAAATGCAATGAGGAAATCGATGGAAAATGATCTAATATTGTTCATGGTGCATGTATTTTTTTTGAACGCTTTCTCTTTTTTTTTTATATATGTTTTTTGAAAAATTTCATCATACATTTCAAAGCCTTGTGTGCTGTAGTTGTTATTCCCATCATCATATGATGATTTTATGTGATGTTTTTAATTGCAATTCTTGTTTTGATCTGTTGAGCTGCATATAAAACAGAATTGTAATGTTCTGAATTTTGACCTTTGGGCCTTCGTCTAGTGCATTTATGAAGCGTGCTGGAGCGTTTATAAGGATACTTTAGTTATATCAGTTTGCTCAACAACTGAGATACTGTATGTATTGTGTTCAAACGTTTGTGTTTGGTAAGATTTTTTAAAAAGAAGTCTCAACCAGGCTGCATTTTTAAAATAAAAAATCTAGTAGAAACAGCAATATTGTGAATTTTTATCACAGTTAAATTTTTTCTATATTAATATATTTTAAGATGTAATTAATTGTGCTGAATTTTCAGCATCATTACCCCAGTCTTCAGTGTCACATGATCCTTCAGAAATCATTCTGATATGCTGATTTGCTGCTCGAAAAATGTTTTGAATTATTATGAGTGTTGAAAAAAGTTGCTTAATATTTTTGCAGCACAGCTAATGCATTTAAGGAAAACAGGCTTCTGAATGCTGCACAGTGTTAATGCAGATTTCTAATAACTGCCATAACAATATGTAGGCAGATATAATATATCTATAATACATCTGCGCTGCATTGGGCTGTTGTGCATGTGTTGTTGTAGAATCTGTCAGTGTGGCTCTGAAGAGGTGGTTCTCAGCTGCTGTTGCTTCAAAACCCAGACATTACATTGGTTTTTAAGGTTGAGGGCATGTCATGCAAACCATTAATATATGGAATCTGGTTTCTAGTCTGGTTTGGCTCACTTCTGCCAGTCGTCAGAAGAATTTGCTCCAAAATGCTGTAAAGTTCGATTGTACACATAGATAGGAAATGTTTTTCCTCTTAGAATTGATCAATCTTTTTTGTGCTATCCTAACTGTACATTATATGGTTAATTTTTGAACAGACTTTCAATTCTACCAACCAGTTAAGGACCACAAATAATTATTTCTTTCTGTGTTTTGTTAGAGACTTTGCGAAACTACTTTTCTCAGTATGGAGAGGTTGTGGATTGTGTCATCATGAAAGATAAAAGCACAAATCAGTCCAGGGGCTTCGGCTTTGTGA